TTCCTTCCTTCCTTCCTTCCTTCCTTCCTTCCTTCCTTCCATTTTTCTTTCTTTGCTGCTGGAAAACAGCCAGGCATTGCACCTGCATGCCCTGAGGAATGCCAGCAAGGACTGTGGGATTTCATTGAGCAAGAAGTGGGAAAAAAGTTCTAATTGAGAAATTTACCAGTATTAAATTGAAATGAATGTGATGTTCGAGAACTGTCTGCCAGTTGACAAGCTGTCAAGACAACACACACATATATATTTCCCCAAATGGCAGCCAAATTAATTTAGGATATCTTATTTGGAAACTGGAGACATGGTTCTTTTATATTCTACAGTGAATTTTAAACTTGATGATAATTCTCTTTTATAGTAATGCTGCTAAGAAAGACGTGCGCATTTGCCTCATTTTAAATGTGGACACTGAGCAAGGATAAAGTTAATTTTCAGTTAAAATTATTGCTTTAAACATTCAGTACGTATTTTATTGTTAGTTTGAGGTGAAGGTGTTTTAACTGTGAATGTATGTCTAAGTCTAGGTCAAAGTACAAAGAACTTTCTATTTGATTTGGAAATTTATCCTCAGGACATTTAGTTCCAAGTCTGACTTTCACTTGTATGAGTGACAAACTCCATGTCAGCCTTACACCATTTGCTTAGTGTATACAATAAACACTACCTAAAAGTATTTTTTAAGTGCAATATTCAAAATATATTCTTGGCTTAGAATTAAACTAATGCTCAATAAATATTGATTTCGTTGGGACCACTGCATTGTGATTTCCTTTAACAGTGTCCTGTAAATTGTTGATATTTTATCAGCACCACAGTCAATGAAAAAGTGCTCAGTGGCTCCAAGCTAGTCTACAAATTCACATGTTGGCAACATTAATACATTCAAAAGGGCATATTAGTAATAAGGGTGGTAGAGAGATGTGACAGTAGGTAGCGCTTAAGGAGGTGGCCATTGTTCCATTATTGTGCATGCAGAAATAAAATACATGACACTGGGTGGGTATTCTTTCAGTTTTCTTGAGACCATGGACTCCTCTAACAGTGTTCAGTGTGCATTGAAAAGTTACCCTAGGATGGTATCTTTACTAACTGCTTTCAGTATTCACAGGAGTACTAAGGATTTACCAGCAAGGGTAGTTTCTCCAGTCCTCATTATTAATTAGAAAAAAGGAGAAAATAGTAGCTAAAATAGAGCCAGATATTAAGGAGCTGAGATTTAAGTTCAGACATCTGCCTCTGCTTCCAATGGGTTTAACCAATATGCTCTACTGATTTTTGATAAAATCTCTAGAGAATTTTGTTTATGT